CTCCGAGTCACTCAAGAGACTGTTGGGCATTGAATGAAACTCCCCCTCGTCTTCCCCCAACGCCTTCCCCATTCCCTTCCCCTCCCCCACCCCCTTCCCCCTCCCTTCCGCCCAACGGTGGCGCAACCACTCCCCTCGCCCCGCACCCCTCCCTCTCCCTTCTTCCGCGCGAACGCGTCGTCGCAGGCGACCGAACGACGCGCTGCGGATCGCAGCCGCCCAGCCGCGCGACACGCAGCGAGCGGCGGGCAAGTCCCAGAGCGCGAGTCGCGACATACAGGCGAGCGCGAGGTCATGGGGAAGGCCCGGGAGCAGATGGCCTTCGGCGGAGGCAGAGACAGACACCATAGAAGGCTTTAGAAGACTCAAACGACTCGGAAGCTAATTTCCACTGAGGAGTCCCGTTCTGCACGGGTGTTTCCGGAAGACGTTGCAGGACGTGAAACTGGCGGAGACTGGATGCGTGGTTTTCTGTCGGGGTTGCAAGAAGCGTCACTATCGGTGAAGCCTCTCAGACTGTTTTTAAGTTTTCTCGAAAGCACCCTGTGATTGCCTGGCAGGACCGCAAAGTGCGTCACCATCATGGATGGCGGGCCGCGTTGAGTCTGCACTGCGATGTGGTCCTACATACACTGTAGCCCACAGTCTTCTTTCGTTTGTTGAGTCAACACGTATGGTGGCATTGGCAGTTGGGCTGTACACATGATGCCCGACCAGTGCACGCGAATTTGCCATGCACCGGATGGACACGCTGCCCCCGAACTCGAAACCCCTGCTTGCTGCACCCCATGTACAGGCACCTGGATGGCCTTCTACAGTGAACGCGGCTCGGCCTCCCCCCCACGTGCAGACCACAACAAGCAGTGCCTACCCATGTTTTCCCTTGTTTCTAGGCCAGGCGCCAACCTGACGAAACGAATGGACGAAATGAAAATGGTTTCGTAAGTGCATTCGCCCACCTACCCCGCCACCTAGGCAAGTTTCAAGGTGCGTGTAACAGACATCTGGCCTGGTGCACGCTGCCACTGTAAACCTCAATTGTGGGGTACAAGCCCACTAACATCCAGGCGTTGTTCGCCTAACCCACGTCAGAGTATAACTCTGGTGGTAACCCAACCACATGTGTGAAATTGTAAGCAGGGTGCATGTAACGAATCATCACAACATAATTCAACCCCCCTCATCAGTTTATAACACAAGTTATAAACTGATGAGCAAATTCACAAGAGCATCAGTATCTCCCGCCTTAGCCTCCCACAATGGCTCGCCACCATCGCCGCGAGCAGCTTCCGCTATTCATCAAGCGCGCATTATGCGCGTATCACGTCGAGCATCCCCTCCTGCGCCACGTCGATCTTGCACGCTGGGTTTACGCCCAGTATGGCCTGCGACCTGACCGCTCCACGGTCGGCCGCATCCTGAAGAATGCGGGGCGCTGGGCTCTGGAGGAACCCAACGCCCCCAATCAGGTGCGGCGCCGGGGCGGCGCATGGCCTGAGCTTGAGCAGGCCATGGCTCGCTGGATCGCAAACGCGGGCCCCGCGGGCGTGCCACTCACTCTGCAGACGATACGCGACCACGTGGCGACGATGGCGCGACGCATGGGCATTCCGCCCGCGTTCCGTTGCTCCATTGGCTGGGTCCGCCGTGCGTTGAGGCGCCAAGGAGTGCGGTGCCGTGCAGCCACCGGCGAGGCGGCGAGCGCCGACATGGCGGCTGTGCGTGAGGCGCGTGAGAAAGTGCCGCAGCTTCTGACTCACCTCGGTTACCAACCGCGCGACACTTTCAACTTTGACGAGACTGCGTTGTGGCTCTCTGTGCTGCCGCGTAAGACGTACAGCAACGCGCGCATTCCCGGGCGCAAGGTCTCGAAGGACCGCCTGACGGTGGCTTTTCTCGTCAACGCTGACGGGAGCCACGTCTTCCGGCCGTTGGTCATCAGCAAGGCGCGCCGTCCGCACGACTTCAGGCCGGACTACGACCCGGAAGCTCTGTGCTACTGGCGGCACAACGCGAAAGGCTGGATGACCAGCTCGGTAAGTCACAGGCGCCTGCGTGATTGCGCGCGTGCGTGATTGCTCATTCACATTGCGTTGCTAGTTGAATTTGTATAACATTGCGTGAGTCGATACATCGTAGCGCATTTACCCCCTTCCCCCCACACCCCCCCCCCCACCGTCCCCGTCCACCCTCCCTCCACTCCCATCCAACAGTTGTTCACGCATTTCATATCGCAGCTCAATGCCGCGATGTATGCCGAGAGGAGGCACATCGCGGTGCTGCTCGACAATGCAAGCTCCCACATGCTGCGGGACGAGTGCGCGTGGAGCGAAATCGTCTGCGGCATGCGGACCACTTGCCTCAGCAATGTGCGCCTCGTCTTCCTGCCGCCTAACACAACCTCCTACACGCAGCCCCTCGACCAGGGCATGATCGCTACCGCGAAGGCCCGCTATCGCCAGCACTGGCTGCAGGCCTTCACTGCACTGTGGAATGACGACGGCGCAACCAGTGCCGTCGCCCGCTGGCGCCCCAATCTTCGCGACGTGCTCGGTTGGCTCTCCGACGCCTGGATGAGCGTCGGAGCGCGCACCATCCAGAGGTGCTTCTGGCGCACGGGCTGCTTGCCTCTGTCGTGGTCGCTGGAACTCACGCATGTGCATGATGACGATCCCACCCCCCATGCTTACCCCGACATTGAGCTCGACGACGACATCGACAATGTCGGGGAGCTCATATGCGGGCTTGGGCTCGGCGCCGGCGCAATGACCGCCGCCGAGTACGTCGCCATCGACGAGGGCGAGCCGACGTGCGCGGAGGCGGCGGCGGGAACGTCTCCGGATGATGCGGACGTGGGCCTGGTGGCGGAGCTATGGAGGGCGCCGACCACGATGCAGGCCGTGTATGACGACAACGACCCCATCGGACGTGAGGCGCGGCGCACGGCACGGGCGGCCAGCGAGATGCTCATCGGCTACGCGCGCGCCGTGAACGTGACCCCGCGCGACCTGTGCCACCTGTTCGACATCCGGAATCCGGTCATCATTGAGCGCATGGAGCGCGCAAGCCCCGCGCTGGCTCTCAGCATGGCCCCGCCGCCCAGGCTTTCGACGAGCCCAACCCCGCCGGAGGAGGCCCAGCATCCGCGGGGCCGTGTGCTGCCTGGCTGGATGACCCAGCCGTCCCGCGGTCAGCAGCTTCTTGACGCCGGGGTTGGCGCCGCGATGGGCGGGTACGTGGAGGCGGCCGAGTGGACGCAGGTGTGAGCTGGAATTTCACAACACTTGATCAGGAGTCGAAGATGGGAGTCGGGGAGTTTTGTTGCAGTTGTAGTTTGATGCAATTGTGCACATAACGGACACATTTGCAGTACAGGGGATGGTTTCTTCATGGGGGTTAATGTCAATATGGCGGATTATGGTTGGTGCGTCATTGCCTGTCTGTTGTTTCAATCTAAGTTGAACAAAGGTTGTCATTGTTTCCAGGGTGTGTGTTATTATCGTAAGGATTTTTGTAACACACGCTTGTGACAACCAGTGCCATCCGACACTGTTATATTAAAGACAAAATGTGTGGTTACCATATGCGCGATACATGCACGCGCAAAGCCTAACGAAACCCTCTACGAACCGACGAAATGCGGTTTTAGCTTACAGTCCCCCTTCACAAGGCAACAGGGAGGGGCTGTAACGAGCATCAGGTGTAACATTTCGATACCCAACCAACCCAGGGTCTCGATACATTGAACCTGGGTTGGGAAGAGGACATGGAAATGAACTGGTTGAAAAGCGGGGAAACGGACTGGTTGGCAAGCCAACCAATCAGAACACTTTTACAAACATTCGAAGTTCAGCTCAACTCTTGCGTTGGAATTGCAACCAGTTATAACATGACAGGTATGGATAACATATTGCATACACAGCATTTCATGCCATTGTTTGTGCCATGTCATTGAGTAAAACGATTCACCTTTGCCACATGGGCAAGGTCCATTGTGGTGCACCCTTCCTTGCCATGGGGAAGGTGGCTGCACCCCAAGGGGGTCTAGGGAAGGGGTCTAAAGCTTCTTGGCTCATTCTTAATTTCCTACTCCCAACTAATCAATTGGGAAATAGGATTGTCTTCTCCTCAACTCACCCTCCAAGATTTGTTACTGCATTTTCCCAGCAACTCTCAGACTTGTCATTTCCAGGAGCTGTTACTCTCTGGTTGTACTAGAAGCTATTATTATATGGGTAAATGCCCTTTTTCTTACTAGATCCGTTACATTGGTATCAGAGCTATTAGTAGATCCTTGCCTTGTGGGCATCTAGTGTCGAAATATGTTTGTCATATTTTGTAACTGCTTGTAGTTGTAGTGTAGTTATTGTACTTTGTAGGTGGTGCACCAACATTGTTTCCTATGCTATATGTTTCTTGAAACCTATAGTGAAAAACACATTCTCCAATTTCTCCTCTCCAACTCACTCGATACCTCGCCTAGGTGAAAACCCGTTCGATACCTAAGTTCGGGCCTAGGCTACTAAGCCTAGGCCCCACCTCTCAACTCACTATCTCTCGCTCATTTTAACATCTAGGAGGATTTTCTTTTTCTTTTTCTTGGAGGAGTTGTGATTTTCATTGTAATCTCCATATTATAAACTTGTGAAGACTACAAGCTATTCAAGCTTCAGTTTTCAAGATCTACAAGCTTCTCCAAGAGTTCTAAGCCCTCCCTCCCTCCCTGCTGGTGGAACCATTGGAGCTACTGTGAAGAAGTTGCAACCTGTGTGAATTAACATTCTCTGTTGAAGACAATCACTTTGTGATTGTTCTTGCCTTATCCACTGCGGTGGTAAGGATATTTTACAACAGAGGTGTTTTTCACATTGCTATGGTTATAAGATCTATTGAAGAAATTTCTCCTTTGGAGAAAATCTTGGTTATTCACTGCGGTGATAACAATTTGCAGTAGATCTGTAAATTTTTTTTTTTTAAATAATTCAGTGACTTTGCTCTCAATGGCTTCTACTAACTCCAATGCTGGTGGTGTTGAATGCAACAACTTCAATGCTGAACTGGAAGCTTGTGTGCAGAAAATTGACCTGAACAACATGGATGAGGAAATGGTTGAGAAGGAACCTGCTGTTGACTCCCCTGCAAGGGACCCTCCAACTGCTGAAAATTCCAAGGAGCAGGAACGGGAGTCTCAGGAGGATGACATTGAGTTGGAAGGGGAGGAGGACATTCTGCATGCTGAAATTGCTAAGCTGCAGGATCATGCTGTTGAGCAGGATACGCGCATCCAGCAGCAGCAGTCAGTCATCACCAACCTCACGAGGGAGCTCTCTGACCAGGACGACAAAATCAAGTACCTGGAAGTTGAGTTTAAAAACATGAAGCATGATGCGCGCGAGCACGTTCATCAGCTGGCGAGGCAGACCTCAAAGATCAACGAGCTGCGCGAGGCCTTCAGTGCCCTCCGAAGAGAGACCATGTATGTATCGCCCTGCACCACGAACGGACCCGCCTGCCAACTCTGCTAGCGGTCGCACCAACCCTTCTCGCTCTGGTGGTGCAGTGTTGCAAGTCCCGCTGAGCCTCCCTTCTCATTGAAGCCTTCCCTCCCTTTACTCTCCTCCACCCTTCTCACTTTTCTGTCCCCTTTCTTCCAGCAGGTGACCCTCCCTAACCCTTGTTCCTCCTGGCGTATGTGATGAGCTTACTCTCCTTCCCTCCGCGTGTATCAGGCGACCCTGCCCCTTCCCGTGCCTGAGCAGCAGCTCCCGCACCTCTGGTCACGGGATCTTTAGCCTGAATCTGCTCTCCCTTCGCTCGAGCCACATTCGTCACATGCTCCTTGACTTTCTTTCCTCGCTGATCCTCCAACACTAGGACTCCCGACTCCCGCACTTCCTGTAGAAATGAACGAACAGGAATGATTGAACTAACAGTGAAATCAGTACAAGTACCTAACCCTAGAATTGTGTACCCCCTATAGGCTAACCCACTGTAGCCTAAACAAGCACAACATATATAATGTTTGACACACCCCCATAGGCGAAGTGGGGGAGAACTAGGGGTCACAAGACCAGTCAAGTAAAGCAAAGCAAAGCAAGCTCAGGGTGGATCACAAAGTCACCACACATACCGAGCACAAGTTCAAGGCCACAAGGCCAGTTCACATGCAGGAGTACATATATATATAAGGCTAGACAAGCAAGAGCAGGTATATATATATATGTAACGGTACAAGCAAGGTCAAGAGGTGAGCAAGTGAGGCAAGATAGGTACAAGACCCAGCTGGGTGCAGAAGCGCTGATGATCACAAGGCGCAAGTGCCTTGGTGAAGACATCAGCAGTGTTGACCTCAGAGGCCACGTACGCAAGCCGCAACTGACCACGCTGCTGTAGCTCACGAGCAAGGAAGTAGCGGAGAGCAATGTGCTTTGTTCTGTGCTCCAGTCTCTGCTCTCGACACAAGGCCAGCATGGCCTTGTTGTCTACGTACAGGACTGGAGGAGAACGAGGCGGCTCTCCAAGGTCGGTCAGCAGGTAGGTGAGCCAGCGAAGCTCCTGTGCAGCCATGGCCCCGGCGTAGATCTCGGCCTCACAACTGGAGCCGAGAACAGAAGACGAGCGAGTAGCCCGCCACGAAACAGAGCCGGAACCAAGGCTGAAGGTGTAACCCTATGACGACCGCTGCGTAGCCTGGTCGTCAGCCCAAGAAGCGTCTGCGTGACCAGTGAGGACCACTGGACTCCGCCCTCCAAGCACTAGCCCCATGCCCGACGTACTGCACAAGTAGCGCAACACCCTCTTCGCTGCAGCCATGTGCTCTGGTCAGTGTCTCCCAGGAGCAACATAGCGTGCGAGAATGCTAAGAGGGTATGCAAGGTCAGGTCGTGTGCAGGTCATCAGGTACATGAGGCAGCCAACAAGCTCTGGATACGGGCCACTCGACTCTACGGACTCATCCGAAGGCAGAGCTGAGAGCGAGTGGCGAGTAGGCAGAGGAGTGGCCTGAGGCGAGGAGTACGTGAAGCCGAAGCGCTGAAGGACCTGCTGCACCATGTGTGAATGAGTCAGGGTGATGGTGTGGCGTGCTCTGTCCCGGGTGATCTGCAAGCCAAGGTAGCTGCGCAATTCACCCAGGTCTGTGCACATGTGTCTCTTCTGCAGCTCGGACTTCACGTAGGCGAGTCCAGTAGTGTCAGCTATGGCAAAGACCAAGTTGTCGACGTACACGAGGATGTAGAACGGCAGCAGAGAAGTGTCGGTGCGTAGAAACAGCGACGGGTCGGCAGTAGAGGGAGCAAACCCAAGAGCCGCAAGCGTAGTCCTCAGTGTGTCGGGCGGGCTGGGCGGCTCGGTTCGGGCTGCTCGGGTCGGGCGGCTGGTTCTGGGGGGGCCGTTCGGGGCCTCTAGGGGCGAGCGCGGGGCCGTAAGGGGCCGCTTAGGGCGAGCGCGGGGCCGATCAGGGCCTCTAGGGGCGAGCGCGGGGCCGTAAGGGGCCGCTAAGGGCGAGCGCGGGGCCGTTCGGGGCCTCTAGGGGCGAGCGCGGGGCCGTAAGGGGCCGCTAAGGGCGAGCGCGGGGCCGTTCGGGGCCTCTAAGGGCGAGCGCGGGGCCGTAAGGGGCCGCTAAGAGCGAGCGCGGGGCCGACGGGGGCCTCTAGGGAGGTGAGCGCGGGGCCGACGGGGCCGTTAGGGGCGATCGCGGGGCCGAGAGGGTCGCTAAGGGGCGAGCGCGGGGCCGTAAGGGGCGAGCGCGTGGGCCGACGGGGCCTTAAGGGGCGGCGCGCGAGTCGCTAAGGGGCGGGTCGCGGGTCGCGGGGCCTTAGGGGGCCGTGAAAAACGAGGCGCCCTAGGGCGCAGTTAGGTAGGTAGGTAGGTAGGTAGGTAGGTAGTGGTGGGCCCTAAAAGAACGGTCCTAGCGAAGGACCTGCTCTATACCATGTTGAAATGAATGAACAGGAATGATTGAACTAACAGTGAAATCAGTACAAGTACCTAACCCTAGAATTGTGCACCCCCTATAGGCTAACCCACTGTAGCCTAAACAAGCACAACATATATAATGTTTGACACTTCCTTCACCTTCCACCGTTCAGGACCCTGTCAAACTCTTATACTATAGTCTGTGTAGGCTATAGTGGGGTAGACAATATGGGGTACAACACTTCTAGGTTTTCCTACTTGTACCCACCTGCTTGCTAGTTCATTCATTCCTCATTCTTCACATGGTATAGAGCAGGTTCCCTAGTGGGAACGCTACCTTGGGCCCACCACTGAAAACTTCCCTTCTGACCGGAGCGCCAATCGCTCCTGCCCGAGGCGTGCTTTTTGCCGCCCTTTCCAGGCCCCTAGTGGCCCCTAGCGGCCTCGTCGTCGCCCCTCACGCGGCCCCGTTACCGCCCCTAAGCGGCCCCGTCGCCGCCCTTGACGGCCCGGTCGCCGCCCCTAGCGGCCCCGTTGCCGCCTCTCACCCTACGCGGCCCCGTCGCCGCCCCTAGCGGCCCCGTCGCCGCCCCTCCGCGGCCCCGTCGCCGCCCTTAGCGGCCCCGTCGCCGCCCCTAGCGGCCCCGTCACCGCCTCTCACCCTACGCGGCCCCGTCGCCGCCCCTAGCGGCCCCGTCGCCGCCCCTCCGTGGCCCCGTCGCCGCCCTTAGCGGCCCCGTCGCCGCCCCTAGCGGCCCCGTCCCCGCCTCTCACCCTACGCGGCCCCGTCGCCGCCCCTACGCGGCCCCGTCGCCGCCCCTCTGCTGCCCCGTCGCCGCCCTTAGCGGCCCCGTCGCCGCCCCCAGCGGCCCCGTCGTCGCCCCTCACCCTACGCGGCCCCGTCGCTGCCCATACGCGGCCCCGTCGCCGCACCTAGCGGCCCCGACGCCGCCCCTGCTGGCCCCGTCACCGCACCTAGCGGCCCCGTCGCCGCGCCTAGCGGCCCCGTCGCCGCCCCTGCTGGCCCCGTCGTCGCACCTAGCGGCCCCGTCGCCGCGCCTTAGCGGCCCCATCGCCGACCCTAAGCAGCCCCGTGGCCGCCCCTACACGGCCCTATCGCCGTCCCCAAACGGCCCCAAGCCGCCCCTACCGAGCTGCCCAGCAGCAGAGCCGCCGAGCCGCCCAGCAGCAGAGTAGCCGAGCCGCCCAGCAGCAGAGCCGCCGAGCCGCCCGACAGCCGAGCCGCCCAGCAGCAGAGCCGCCGAGCCGCCGAGCCGCCCGACAGCCGAGCCGCCCAGCAGCAGAGCCGCCGAGCCGCCCAGCAGCCGAGCCGCTGAGCCGCCCAGCAGCTGACCGCCGAGCCGCCCGACAGCCGAGCCGCCCGACAGCCGAGCTGCCCAGCAGCCCAGCAGCTGAGCCGCCGAGCCGCCCTGCCGTCGAGCTGCTACCAGTCCTACCGGCGCGCCCCGGCCCTCCTTACCCGTACTGGTGAGCTCACTCTTTGCTAGACCTCTGCAGTCATGGCTACCCCCAGTGTTCTTTCCTTTGACACTGAGGGTCGTGCTGTTTACTTTGAGGTCTGGATCGATGACCTCCAGCTTTTCCTCCAGTGCGATAGGGCAGACGGTCTCTCTCTGTTCGACCTCACCTTTGGTGCCTCCCCTGCCCCGCCTGCTACTGCTGACAGCACTGTTCGCTCACAGTGGGCGACACGCGATGCTGCTGCCCGTCTTGCTGTGCGTTGCCACTTACTGACCACTGAGCGTGCACACTTTAGCCAGTACAAGAGTGCTCAGACCTTGTATGACGCTGTAGTTGCACGCTACTCTTCCCCTACCACTGCTGCACTGAGCCACCTCATGCTACCGTACCTCTTCCCTGACCTTACTGCCTTTCCCACAGTCGCTGACCTCATTACGCACCTCCGCACTAGTGACACTCGCTACCGCGCTGCGCTTCCTGCTGAATTCTGCGCCAAGAACCCCCCCCCCCACCCCCCCCCCCCCCCCCATTTACATCACCCTTTACTACATAGTCACCCGGCTCCCTGACTCTCTTCTCTTAGTCAGGGACCACTTCCTCTCAGTTTGCCCCACCACTCTCACCGTTGACCTCCTCGAGCAGCGCCTCCTAGCAGCAGAGAAGAGCATAGTAGCTGTAGGAGCCTCTCGTGGTGACCCTCGCACCCCCGTCTTTGAGGGGTGTTCCCCCTCCCCCCTCTTGCCCTCTGTTGCTCCTGCTGCTGCTGGCGCGGACCACCACCGGACCCACTCCTCTGCGCAGAGTCGCGACCCGCTCCACCGCCGCCGCCGCCGCCGCCTCCGCCGCCTCCGCCACCTCCGCCTCCGCTGCCTCCGCCACCTCCGCCTCCTCCGCCACCTCTGCCGCCTCCGCTCCCTCCGCCACCACCGCCGCCTCCTCCGCCTCCACTGCTGCCACCGCTGCCTCCGCCCCCGCCACCACTCCCACCACCACCCCCACTCCCTCCACTGCCTCCACCACCACCTCCACCGCCCCCGCTAGCCCCTCCAGTTCCCTTGCCCCCCTTGCCCTTGTCGGTGCTGCGCCTGCCCCTAGCGGGAGACGCATTCCTTGCCTGCTCCCATGTCTTTGACCCCTGCCTGCGTATTTGTAGTGCTCCCCTTAGCGGTTATCTTCTCGACTGCTGCGTATGCTGCTTGCTTATAGCACTGACCCCCTTGCCTTTCCTGCTTCCCTCCCTGCTGCCCTGGACCCTTCCGCATCTCAGTTACCAACCATCTCAGAGAATGTTGATCAATCGCCCTGCCCAAAGCTGCTCGACGAGTCTCTTCCCCCACTCCCTCTGCTGCAGTGGCTCCTGGAAAGTACCCCATAGCTAGCTCGCGTTCCAAGGCGGTTGGCTCTTCCCACTTCCCTTTACGGTGATCATACACCATCCCTAGGCCGGGGTTCCCGTCCTGCTCAATAAAGCCTCGTGCTTTCGCGTAAGCCACTAACGTCGGCCAGGCTCTTCGCGCTTCCCCTACTCGGTTGCACTGGTACTGCAGGGGGTGATCTGGTTTGACCACTGGCGCAGCTACCCTCCCTGGTTCGAGGATGTCCTCCACAATCCTAGTCCCATCTCTTTCTACTTTTGCCAACCGAGCCCGAAGCTCCCCTTCAGGTAGGACATTTTGCCAGAAGCGCCGCACCCGATGCGTTAGTGCCCCCAGCTGCGCCCCGTCACATCTAACTCCCTTTCCCAATTCTGCTTCCACCAGCTCCCGCACTTCTCGGACCGGCTCCCTAGCGTCACCATTCATATCCACGTGCTCTAGAATGTAAGCGTACTCTCCTCCTACCTCCTTCATCCACCTCATGATTTCCAGTAGCATGGTCACTAACCCTGTGCGCTCATCTTGCAATCCCTTCCCCTTCCCTGCCCTCGAGGTACCCTGGCACTCCCAACCGGCCACTAGCAGGTCCACTTTTCCCCAATTCTTTGCGTCTTCTTTGGTAATCTGCTTCACATCCCAGTTCTTGTTCTGCATGGCCTCCTTCACCACATCTTTCCTCAGCTGGGCGGGGTACCGCTGCTGCAGTACCTGTGCGTGTTTCCAGGCCATCCTCCGGACTTCAAGATCCACCTCCACATAGATCCACTTCTTCACCCTCAGACCGGCCTCTAGTGCTGCTGCTAAACCGGCTCCCAACCCCCCGAACAGCTCCACCAGTGTGACACTGTACTGGTCTATGCTTGCCCCCGGCTGGATTTCCATGATCTTCCCACCGCTTGTACTTCCTCCCCTCCCCATGCCTCCTGCCCTCCAGGCTTTCTTTGGTTCAGTCCTGATGAAACGCACTGGCAGCTCACTCAGCTCCTTCCCTTCCTCCCAGAAATCCGAGCGGTATAGCACTTGCTCCTGCTAGGTGCATATCGTAGTCCCTATCTTGTAGAGCAACTCCATTCCCAGTAAAATGTCGTAGTCGTCTGATTCCGTCAGTCCGCACTGCACCCTTATCGTTGTCTCTCCCTCCCCCCCCGGCTGCAGCGTGATCTCAATCAGATCCTTAGTGCATGGCATCCACTTGGGAGCCCCTCCCTCTGCGGTCAAGATCAGTATTCCCCGTCTCACTGTTTCCCAACCTCCTTGCGCCTTTAGCTGCTCGGTCAGCTTTCTTCCCAGCAACACACTCTGCGCGCCTTTATCCACCACGGCATTTTCTACTAGAATCCCTCGTACCGCTACAGACTTCGGTTCCACCACCAGAGCCGTGGGCTGGCAGACCAGTCGCTCTTCAGGGTGTCGCCGAGCTGCCTTCGGCTTGTTAGTCCCCTCAAGTACATTTGAAGTCCTTCTCCTTGGCTGCTTCGGCTCCGCTCTACCGTCCTTCCCTCCACTTCTCAACCCCAAACTTTCTCGGTCCCTGGGCGACATGGCCATTGTCCCATACTCAGCTTCTTCCTCCCCGTAATCTTCCTCTTCCTCGTCTTCCCAAGCTAGTAGCGCTTTCTCCGGGTCTTCGCTGATCTCCACCTTACCCATCTGCGCCTTCAGCTTTGCTAACTCCCTCTCCAACTGCTGTTCTCTAGCGGATTTTTCTCCCCCCTTCTCCTTCTTGCTGTAGCACTTTTCTTCCGTGTGTCCCGTTTCCTACAGAAGGTGCGGATCGGCGCCTTGGGACAATTCCGCCTGAAATGCCCTTTCTCTTTGCAGATGTTGCATATGATGTCGATGGCGCAATCCTTTCGCAGATGCCCGTGTTCCCCGCACTTGTGACACCGTCGCTTGTCTTCAAATGGTTTTTCTCTCCGTTCTTCTTCCATCCGCTTTCCTTCCACCGCAGCCCACGCCAGCCTCCTGCGTTCGCCTGATCTTCCTGAGCTCGCTCCGCGTAACCCATCGAAGAACCTTCTTCCCTCCTCTACCTCTTTCGCCACCTGATACACTTGTCGCAATTTCGCCTTCATCCCCAGCGCGTACAGTCGGCTCCGCATATCTTGCATCAGGTCTTCATCCAATACACCCACAAACTTTGACACCAAGGTCCGTTCTTCCAGGCAGCCCATGTCTTCGGCCAGCTCCATCAGTCGATTATAGTACGCTAGCAGAGATTCTCCTCTCGCTCTCTTAAAATCTTGGAACTCTGTCATCCGATCTGCTGAATGTCCCGGGAAGTGTTCTCGCAGGCTTTCCAGGAACCGGTCGGTGATTTCCGCCGGTGCGAAGTCTCCCCGCTTACTCTGCAGCAACAACCCTTGTCTCTCCACCCGGTAATGCGTCAACGCTTCCCCCTTGAGCGTTCTCCTCAATCCTCTGAAGAATTCAATGGGATCGTGCCCCTCCCTCTCCCAGCAGTATCGGATGTCATCCACCATCATAAGATAATTCTTCAGCGTGGGCTCCTCTCCAGGTGCTCCTGAGAAGCGATCCGGCACTTCAATCTTAGGTGGAGCTGCACTTATCGTTCTGCCCGTTCCCCAGCTCGCCGTTCCCCAGCTCGCCGTTCCCCTCTCGCCAATCCCCACATGCTGATCTCCTCTACCGCCCTCCCTGGATTCGCATCTTCCAGCAGAGGATCCGTGAAACGCCTCTCCTTCTCGCTGGCTCCGCTGATCTTCCTGATGGTCTCCCACTCTCGGTTTTGGGGTTCCACGCTGAGATCCTCCAACCCTGGCTGATTGGGATCCCATCCCTGGCGCTGGAAAATTGCAGTTAGAGCCCAGTGGAGGCTCTTCCCGTCGGTCGCCCTCCTTTCCTGGATCCGCGCTGCTATTACCACTAGCGTTCGCTGTTCCTTCTTCTGCTCGGAACCCAGGCGTCTTAGTCGGCAGGGCTTGCCCCTCCATCCTCCGTGCAGGAAATCTGTGACCTGAACGCAGCTGATGAGTATGTAATTCTTGATCAAGGCCGCTCATCCCTTACGATGCATCACCGCAGGTCCTCCAGGCGTTCGTACCTGTTCTGCTGAAATTTCAGCACTGCAACTTTTTGCTTGTATGAACAAGTCTAAACCCCCTCGCAAGGGCTCCGTCAGATTGCTCCTGCTTCTCCCTACTGCTAGCTTCCTTTGGCTTAGGAAAACAAGATTGCAGTAAAAAGAGAAACATACAAGCAAAAAGCGAGAGACCTGAGTGCTCCCCCCGATTACATTCCCTCCTCCTCCTGCCTAGGTTCCTCCTGCAGCACGCTAACTCTAGTGCCAGACGCGAGTCAGCTGCACTGCTCGTGATGGCTCCTAGGTGCTAGCTAGCTCCCACTGGGCCCACTAGGCATGCACTGTAATCCAGCTGGAATCAAGTTCCTAGCCTGGAATCGCATTCCCAGCTGGAATTGCATTCCCAACCTGGAATCGAATTCCCAGCTGGAATCGAATTCCCTCTTCTGTACCAACCTCCTCGAATTTCCCTGCACTCGGCTCTGTAAAGTGTATGTACAGTACATACCACGCACATAAAAGAAATTAGAGTACAAGTCCAGAAATGCACAATTACCTGGCTGCTGTGTAATTCACGCCTTAGCCTGCTGGCTAGGCGTTAATAACGCGACATGGTGCAGTGGGTAACCCTGGTCCTTCTACGCAGCGTGCTGCTGAGCCGAGCACGCAGGCTTTTGGCTCTCTGCCAATCACCCTGCCGCCATTCATCCATGGCAAAACGGACATGGCTGCGTGGTTGTCAATGATGACCGACCTGTTCAAGACGCACAAGGTCCAAGACGACGCTCGCGTCGTCGCTGCCACCACCGTGCTGGACCAGAACGCACAGCGAGTGGTGTATGGCGGCAAGATCCAGGCTGAGGCAGATAGGAAGCCGTTTGGGTGGGAGGAATACGCATCTGCACTCAAGCAAGCTTTCCAGGTCCAGCCGACTCAGCTGGAGGTGCGCAGCCGCCTTGAGAAGCTGCAGTGCGGGAACCGCACAGTGCAGCAGTACGCCGTGGAGTTCGAGGAGATCTGGGTGCTCCAGAAACCGGCGGAACGTATGAGCGAAGGCGAAAAGATCCATCTGTTCTTCAGGGGGCTGCCTGAGCACCTCAAGAACATGCATATGACGGATGGGGCTGGGGAGGCATGGAGGTCCTATGATCACGTGAAGCGCGTGGTGGGGACCACTGATAAGCACTTCCGCGCTTATGCTTAAACCACTACCCAGCCGCAGCAGGCCTCAAGGCCGTCTTCTAGCACTGCGGGTCCTAGCGGAAGGCAGCAGGGAACGCCTTGGAAGTGCGGGAACCACAAGAGGCCCTTCCAGCAGGGGCAGCAGGCTGACCACAAGGCCAAGAAGGTCAACGAGGGTGGACCAAGCAATGTCCAGAGCTGCTTCAAGTGCGGCAAGCCTGGACACAAGGGCTATGAGTGCCGCCACCGCAAGGCGGTGAAGTACTCTGGCAAGTCCAAGACGGACAACAAGCGCCATAATGGCAGTGGTCCCTCGGGCAGCCAGCGGGATTTTGCAAAGCCCAACTAGGGGGTGGGTACCTAGCGGGCATAGTAGATCGAGAGGATGAGGCAGTGGTCCTGCGGGATGAGGAGTTATTGAAACTCGAGTGCCTTGTTGATTGCAAAATTGCATGTGTGTATGCATTTTCTTTTAATGAAAGCTCTTTGTTTGCCTCTCGATTTCACCCACTGGAAAATGTCACAGTTGAATCATTACGAGATAAATTCTCACTTATATTTTGTGATCACCATAATTTGCCTTGGATAATGGAGATGGTGGGTCGTTGCACCCAAGCGCACCCTCTAACTGCGGTTGGAATGGTAACGCGCACAGTTCGAGGTAAATTGTTTCGAGCACTTCAAGGATGGAGCGTGTTAGCGCAGTGTGATAAGGGACACCATGTGTGGTGGACACAAGCTCGTTCTTTTGGACGCAGCAAGCACGGCATTAAGGCATATTATTTGCCTCCCACTGATGTTACAGCATGTCCTATTCGACCCAAACATCAGCAGAACCTTTTGTTTTCGGGTCGCGTAAATGGGCGCAGTGCCTCGATCCTGGTTGATACAGGAGCGACTGCGTCATTGATCGGTGAGAAATGGATGGGGTATTTGAATGTACCTGTTCAAGGACCATCTTGCTCTATCCGTCAGGGAGATGACAGGGTCATCCCATGCAGAGGACATGCCTTGGTTAACCTAGATATCCAAAGATATCAGAAGACCATCAGCGTTTTTGTCTTACCCCTCCTAGCGGGCGTAGACATTGTCTTGGGAATGGATTGGCTGCGGCCTAATGAGGTGATGTTGAATTTCCAAGATAACACGCTTTCATTCACAAAGAATGGGACGTCGTTTCAATGGCAAGTCCCAAAGCGCCATGCACTGGACGACAAACCTCAAAGCCTGGCTCTTGATGTGCGCTTTACGTCGGCTCTCCAATTCAAAGAGCATGTCAAGGGAGCTGATACACTTTTTTGTTGTACAGCTGGACTCTGAACCAACCCCTTCACAGATTATTGAGGACTTTCCACCTCAAATGAAGGCGTTGGTAGAGGAATATTCCGAGGTTTTCAAACCAATTCCGGACGGGTTACCTCCCGACCGTGCAGTTGGCCACACCATCCCGGTGGAACCAGGAAAGGCACCACCATTTAGACCTCTGTATCGCCTCAGTCCAGCTGAGTACGAGGAGGCTAAACAACATATTGAGGAATACCTCAGGAAGGGATGGATAGAACCTAGCGCATCCCCATATGGAGCATCGATCTTGTTTGTTCACAAGAAGGGAGGTGGACTGCGCATGCGCGTCGATTATCGAGCTCTGAATAAAATTACGATAAAAAACAGATATCCACTTCAGCGCATAGAAGATTTATTTGATCGACTACAGGGTGCGCACTGGTTCAGTGCACTGGATTTGGCGCAAGGCTATCACCAATTGCGTATAACAGAGGACGATGTTCCAAAGACGGCTTTCCGTTCGCCGTTCGGCCATTTTCAGTGGCGTGTGTTAAGTTTTGGCTTGACCAACGCTCCGGCCTCTTTCCAGAGGGCGATGAACGATGTTTTTCGTGATGCGATTGGCCAGTTCGTCTTGGTGTACCTCGATGATATCCTGGTATACTCAAAAACCGAAGATGAGCATACGGAACACCTGAAATGGGTCCTCGAAAAATTACGCGAGCACAAATACTACGCACGTTTGTGGAAATGCCATTTTTACAAACGTGAGCTGGAGTATTTGGGGCACGTAGTGGGGCACAACGGTCTGAAAGTGGACCCCAAGAAGGTAGCAGCTGTCCAGGAGTGGCCCGTCCCACGCGACGTTGGCCAAGTTCGATCATTCCTGGGCCTGGCGAATTATTTTCGTCGCTTCTTGGAAAATTATTCCACGATAGTCGCTCCCCTCACGGCATTGACCCGGAAAGGGTGCACATGGGAGTGGACTCCACAGTGCCAAAAGTGTCAGAATCAGCAGTAAAAAGTAAGAATGAAGAAAGAGGAGGTTCACTAGCAAGCAGTTGGATACAAATAGCAAACCCTAACTGGGTTGTACTCGCTATGGAGCACCCCACTGCAGGCTAGATAACATAACATTCTGACACACCCCCATAGCCAAAGTGGGGTGTAATCAGCACAGTAAGCAAAGCAGAACAAGCTCAGGGTGGATCACAATGTCACCACACATTCTGAGCACAATTACAAGAAGCAACAGTTTAAAGTTCACACTTATGAGCGAAGCTAGTGGTAGTCACAACGGGCAAGTGAGGAGGAGGAGGGACTGTGAGAGGAGAGAAGATGGGAGACGACGGCTGAAGCTGCAGACACACGGGCTACAGGAGCGGCTGGCACAGTGGCTACCGGGACAGCGCCCCGGACTACTGGAGTAACTGGCTCACGGGCTACGACGAGCTACAGGAGCAACGGACCCACGAGCAACAGGCGCAGCAAACTCTCTGAGCTACCAGGACAGCGCCCCGGACTACAGGTGCTGCGGACGACAAGACGGCAGCCTCCTCTCAGCCTCCCCAAGCAGTCCCACACCCCCCCACACACACCCCCAGTTTCACCCCTAGCTCCACTCCCAAGGCACCCCCCTTAAACCCTAAACCCCAGTCTCTCACTCATCCACCCCCCTCAGCGACAGCTGCAGGAGTGGGAGACGAAGTAGGAGGAGGAGAAGGGGACGGCGCGCACAACCGAAACCGCCACAAGCACCACCCCCACACCCCTCACCCCCAAAACCCTAAAACGGGTGGGATAGGGGCAGGAGCGCGGGGGACGGCGAGGGGAGGGACGGCTCACGACCCCCAGGGTGCCAAAAAGGACGGGCGGGGCAGAGGGGTGGCGCGCGCGGCTCCCCAGGGCGCCGGGACAGACGGGCATGGGGCGGGCGCGGCTCCCCAGGGCGCCGTGACAAAAGGGCAGGGGGCGGGCGCGGCTCCCCAGGGCGCCGCGACGGACAAGCAGGGGGCGCATGCGGCTCCCCAGGGCGCATGCGGCTCCCCAGGATGCCGCGATGAGCAGGGCGGGGCCGCGTGTGCACCCCAGAGCGCCGCGACGAGCTGGGCGAGGGGTCACGCGCGACTCCTCAGGGCGCCGCGACGGACGGGCGGGGGCAGCGCGCGGCTCGCAAGGGGGCGCCAGGAAGAAGAAAGGGCCGCGCGCCCCCCCGGGCGCGCGCCACACAGGAAAACCGCCGCGCGCAGCAGACGCGCGGCAGGAAGGAAGGGTAGCGCGCTCGGGGCGCGCGACAGTAGTAGAGCAGCGGAAGCTTTAGGTGGTGGGCCCACCCACAGGATCGACCCAAGGGGATCGACCTGCTCTGATAGCATGTCAGAATCAGCAGTAAAAAGTAAGAATGAAGAAAGAGGAGGTTCACTAGCAAGCAGTTGGATACAAATAGCAAACCCTAACTGGGTTGTACTCGCTATGGAGCACCCCACTGCAGGCTAGATAACATAACATTCTGACAAAAAGGCCTTCGAAGAGGTCAAGCATAAATTAACCAACGCACCAGTTTTGGTGTTGCCAAACCCACAGAAACCATATGAGGTGGTTACGGACGCCTCGACGGTGGGACTTGGTGCAGTACTCCTGCAAGAAGGACGCCCTGTGGCATTTGAGAGTAGAAAACTCTCCCCGGCAGAGCAACGCTACACGACAACCGAACAAGAGTTGTTGGCTGTCGTGCATGCGCTAAGAACATGGCGATGTTACTTGGAAGGGGTAGAGTTCGTGGTCACCACTGACCATTGTCCGAACACATATTTTTCTACCCAAGCTACCCTCACTCGCCGTCAGGCCCGTTGGGCTGAACTCCTTAGTGGGTTCAGTTTTGACATTCGTTATCGTGCAGGTTCCACGAACCTGGCTGACCCCCTCAGCAGACAGCCGATAGGGGCAGCAACTGGGCTTGACGATACCGAACATGCGGCTGTTTTTGCTGCCTGTTTTGGCATACTAGCTGCGGCGAAAGTGAGCGAGATCGCGTTCAGTGGCTTTCTAAAACGAATTCGTACAGGATATCATATTGATTCCTGGTTCCAAAACCCACAAAACACCAAACATTTGACATGGGAACACGATCTTTGGTGGCGAACAAAAGAGATTGCGGTACCTCACGTAGGCAATCTGCGGAACGATATTTTGGAAGAGGTGCATGCCACTAAATATGGGGGACACTTGGGCATGAATAAGACCCGATGGGCCCTACGAGATGTGTATTGGTGGCCAGGAGTCGGTAGTGATGTCCAACAGTTTGTGGCACGTTGTGACGCGTGCGCACGTAACAAAGCGGACACACAGAAGCCTGGTGGTTAGCTTCAACCACTTGAAATTCTGAGTGAACCTTGGGAAAGCGTTTCACTGGATTTCATCACCGACCTCCCAAGAACCCGTGATGGGTATACGGCGATACTCGTCTTTGTAGATCGCCTCACAAAAATGGTGCACTTCGTACCCACGACAACAGACATATCAGCAGAGGATACTGCTCGGTTGTTCGTGACACATGTGTTCCGTCTACACGGATTGCCACGTGTATTAGTGTGTGATCGCGACCCGCGCTTCATGAGCCGATTCTGGCGTGAAGTAACCGAGACACTAGGAACGAAGCTTAAGATGTCGTCAGCGTTCCATCCCCAGACAGATGGGCAAACGGAACGGACTAACCGCACTCTCGAGCAGATGCTTCGTTCTTTCATAAGCCCAACACAGGACAACTGGGACGAGTTGTTACCCATGGTCGAGTTTGCGGTTAACAACTCAGTGCATGATAGAACACATGAAAAACCATTTATCCAGAACTGTGGTCGGCATCCCACAACACCTGCTACGCATGGGATCGGCGGTTTGAAATTACCTGCCACAAAGGATTTTGTGGGCAAGCAACGAGAGGCCCTAAAGTCGGCACGTTGTTGGCTGCAATTAGCCCAACAGAGGCAAAAATCCTATGCAGATATGAAACGCCGGGAAGTCTTGTTCTCTGTTGGAGACCAAGTTTTGTTAAGCACGAAGAACATT